CAAAACTTTACTGGTTTGGCTTTTGGACTAGGAGTAGAAAGGTTAGTGATGATTAAGTATGGGGTGGAGGATATTCGTCACTTTTATTTGAATGATATTCGATTTTTAAAACAGTTTCGGGCTATCAATTAAAAGATTTGTTTGACTTTTGTTATTTTATTTTTAACTTTTTTTCTTTTCTCTTTTTTGCCACTATTGCTGCTATTATTACTATTGCTGTTGTGGCTATCAAAAGAGAAATAGGAACAATTACCTTTTTCCAAGTAGGTTCTTGTGGTCTTTGTTCTGAACTTGTTTGAGCAAAGAGTTGGTCTATCTCAGACTGGTTAGTCAAATAGGCCTTGTGATTATAGCCTTTATCAGCAATAAATTGAATTACTTCTTTTTTGACCTCTTGAAACTTATTTAGCAAATTACTTTGAAGAAAATTTTTGGCTTTATTCACTAATTCATTAAGCCTCTTTTGGGCACCGGCTATCCCAATTTTCTCAGTGATGCTTTCTTCTTTTTTGATAATTGCTTGTTTGTTCTCTTCCTTATTCAAATCTTCCAGTTCTTGGGCTATTTTATCATGCTCTTCTTTGCTTAAATTGTTTTGGGATAAGAGATTATTTAATTTACTAATTACTTCCTGCTTGGCTTGGTTGGGATTAGAATCAAACATTCTTTCTTTTAATTCTCTTATTTCATTTTTCTTGCTCTCTGCCATGTCTTTTCCTCCGTTAACTTTTTCAATTTGTTCGAGCAGACTTGCTAATTTTTGTGGGTCATTTTCTTCTCTGGCGACAGATAGAATATTATCTATTTTCTGATTTGTTGCTTCGCCTTTTTGTCTATTTTTTTCTGAGACTAATTGTCCGAAATCTTTTTCTTCCTTACCACTCCGTGATCGCTTATTAGTGTCAGAGGAATTATTGACTTCTTCTCTTTTACGCTTTTTGTCATTATTTCCTTGTTCTTGTTCTGCCTTGGCAATGAGTTGCTCCATTTTTTTTATTAATCTTTCCCTATTTCTTAACTCTATTTGGTTTTTTTGTTCACACTGTTTTCTATAACTTTCACTAATATAAGAGTCACTAGTGTCCCA